TGCAGAATTTGGAATTGTTTGGTTAAACCTAGCCTTAAGTATCTTTTGTTTCTAATTAGGGTCTAGGACAGGGATGACTTGCGTTCAAAGGTGAACTGACACACCATGACGTTTTGGGTGACACTCCAGCATTTTTCAACACTCAAAGCCAAATGCTTCTGTTCAGGTGGCCTAGATATGGGAGAGATAGAGAATTGTTTCTATTTTGTCCATGTGTGTGTGTCTCTCTCTGTGTGTGAGACACACACACACACACACACACAAGCAGAATCAATTAGGCATTTTCTAAAGGTTCTAAAGGTTCACTATCATTGGTCTAGGACAGTGGTTCTCAACCTTTTTAATGCCGCGACCCCAACCGGTCGTAAGTCGAGGACTAAACCGGTCGTAAGTCAAGGACTAAACCGGTCATAAGTCGAGGACTATCCAACCGGTCGTACGTCGAGGACGAGGCATAGCTGGCAAGCGGCAGAGATGGAGCAGGCCGACCACCAGCTGGCCCAGCCCAAGGGAGGTAAGGCACCCGCCGGAAAAGGGAAAAAAATGGCGGACAGCCTTGCTTGGCGACCCCCGTGAAATGGTCGATTGACCCCAAATGGGGTCCCGACCCACAGGTTGAGAACCGCTGGTCTAGGAGAATATGTGGGTTGTGAGATTATTGTGTATTTTTTGTAGGACTGACTGCTGAAATGCACAGGGAATCCATCTTGTCTTTTAGCCTCGTGCCTATATTACTAGAATTTGTCGCCATTGTTTAGCCTCCCTCCTAAAAAGACAAACAGGTTGGTCCCTGGACGTTAATAATGAAAGTTTGCAAAGCTGAATACCTGTAATTGGGGAGTTTCTATGCTGTAGCAAGTTGAGCAACTGTGAGTTCAAATCCTGCCTTAGGCATGAAAGCCAGCTGGGTGGCTTTGGGCCAGTCACTCTCTCAGCCTAATCCACCTCACAGGGTTGTGGTTGTGGTTGTGGGGAAAACAGGAGGGAGAAGGAGCGGTAGGTATGTTTGCTGTCTTGAGTTATTTGTAAAAAATAATAAAGGTGGGAAATGAATGAATGAATGAATGAATGAATGAATGAATGATACGAGTTTAGTTCTATCTGTTATAAAAAGTTATATTTGCAAAGTACTGTACTTTTGGGATTGATTGTGGCAATCTTAATGGCCTTTTCTATGTGTTGTCATCCTACTGTCTCTTTTCCATTACGTCAGATACAAGAACAAAGGAACTTCACCCATTCCAGGGTGTCTCCAGTGACAGTGCTGCCTCCATTAAACGGCTCTCCATCTCCTGGTGGATACTCATACTCCAACCCTTGGGAGATCAGGAAGGACCAGGAAAGAGGTCCATCTTCCTATAACCGCAGTTACAGGTAATGGACTTTGCCTGGTTTCTAATGGATTAAGTAGGAGAATCTAGGAGAGAGGTTTCCAACCTTGGCAACGTTAAGACTCGTGGACTTCGTGACCGGCTGGGGGAATTCTGGGAATTGAAGTCCACAAGTCTTAAAGTTGCCAGGTTTGGACACCTTTGCCCTAGGACAGGAGTGTCAAACTGTCGGTCTGCGGGCCGGATGCATCATAGCAAAACCGTGCCTACCCCATTGCCTGCAATGGAAAAAAGTCACAATACGTTGCGACACGTGATGTTGCGAGTTTGACACCCCTGCCCTAGGAGATACTTGTTCAAAACAGAGTATACTGTAGTTTGTTTGGAAACTCCTAACAAGTTTTTTTTCTCTTCTGCCGAATAGAAATGATGCTGGCTTGGCACTGAATGGCCATAATAATTACTTAAGATAAGGGAGGGATTGGCAAAGAGTGACATTCAGATTCTGTCTGTAGATCTTCCAACACTTTTTACTTTACTTTAAAGTAGTTGTAGTAGTTGGGATTTTTTATTTTTTTTTATTTTTTTTTAAAAAGACTTAAATTGCCTTTCCAAGTTCCATGGAGGAGTGGGAGAAATAAACAGATGAATTATTGTAACTAATTTTTCCCCCAACCGTATCTTTTTATTGGCGAGCCAGAGGAGAAAATAAGTTCAGGGAGATGGAGTGAAAGAAAGGTTAAAGGTCTTCCCCTTTCCAGGTTTCAAATTAGTTTTGAAGTAAGAGCAAGTTGTGAGAGGATGCAGTTGGGGACGAGCCACATCTGGATCTGGTTTTGCTCCTGGAGTCAAACCAGTGATTTATTTAGTTTGATTGTCTGGTCTGATTGTATTCAGCCTTCTAAAGTCTTAGGAAGAAACTCATCATTCTGATGGTTAGTGCCAGGAATTCAGGCTCCCATCATTAACTCTGGACCTGCAAAGCAATCAGGAATGTACATGTACACACACATACACACACACACACACACACACACACACACACACACACAGAGAGAGAGAGAGAGAGAGAGAGAGAGAGAGAGAGAGAGAGAGAGAGAGAGAAACAGGTGGAGCTTCAATTGCACTATTGTGATTGCCATCTTGACTTTTCTGACCAAATTCAGTGGATCAATGACTGGCAGTTTTGTACATGCAAGTAGTTCTCAATTTATGACTACAGTTGGGATCACAATTTCCATGATTAAGCAGGGCAGTTGCTAAATGAATTGCATGTGATGTGATCTTTTTTCCTACCATTCTTAAGCAAAAGGCTTCTATTCTATTCTGTTCTGTTCTACTCTACTCTACTCTACTCTACTCTATTCCTTATTCTATTCTATTCTACTCTACTCTACTCTACTCTACTCTACTCTATTCCTTATTCTATTCTATTCTACTCTACTCTACTCTATTCCTTATTCTATCCTATTCTATTCTATTCTATTCTATTCTATTCTATTCTATTCTATTCTATTAGCTCAGTCAAGATAACTCTACTTTGAACCGAATTGTCAAGTTCACCACTTTCATCTTTGCACTACCAAACCACACCCTTCCTTTGTGTGTGTGTGTACTCTGTTCCTTCCTTATTGATAAAAGGAAGGGCATGTGTGTCTTTCTCTTTTTTATTATTGATGCAAGTCTCTTCAAGAAGCAGTATAAAAAACGATTGACAAGAGTTTGGGTGTGACTGCCTTGAACTAAATATAGGAACGTAGTCATTGTCAGGGTGCAGTTTGTACACCGGTGTAATAGTATTGTTCTATGCCCAGTCCAAATGAGCCCACCGCAAGATGGAGGCCTTTTCGTTGAAGCTTATAGACCAGGATCTACCATGCTGGTCCAGTGTGACTTGTTTTTCGATAGATGTTTTTCAGCTTCTATCTATATTGTATGTTTTCAGATGACCAAAGATGCAGGTCCTGGGGTGTGGGGGTGCGTTGTTGTTCATTCTTCAGCACTGGTTTGTTTCAGTGGCCTTTCTAGAGAAAGGTTTTTCAAATCTTCACTACCCATTCAAAACAGAAAACTGGCAACCCACTCCTGCCATTATTTAGGGATAGAACACTTGCTCGCAAACAATGATAGTAAAGATAGTAAAACTATAGGTTAGTGCAGGGGTAGGCAACCTTGGCTCTTTTATGACTCGTGGACTTCAACTCCCAGAATTCCTGAGCCAGCCATGCTGAGAAGAAATGGAGAGGTTTCCATGCTGAGCCGGGCTGGCTCAGGAATTCTGGGAGTGAAGTCCACGAGTCATGAAGGGGGCCATAGTTCCCCCATGCTGGCTCAGGAATTCTGGGAGTCGGTCCACGAGTCATAAAAGAGCCAAGGTTGCCTACCCCTGGACTAGTGCAGTGTTTCTCAACCTTGGCCGCTTGAAGATGTGTGGACTTCAGCTCCCAGAATTCCTGAGCCAGCCATGCTGAGGGGAAAGTGAGAGGTTTCCAAGCTGAGCCCTCAGGAATTCTGGGAGTTGAAGTCCACAAGTCATAAAAGAGCCAAGGTTGCCTACCCCTGCACCAAGTAGTTGGAGCATCAGAACAGATGACGTGAAATGTTGCTAATTTCTCAAGAGAGGCTGGCAGTTGATCTCCCACAGGGTCTTTTGCTGGAGGTGGGCAAAGGAAGATAACATCTTTCCGTCCAGGAGCGTTTACTCATTTTGGCGCTAGGGAAAAATTCTCTTCCTGCTAGGAAGCCCTCTTCTTTGATTAGTGTGTCTGAGCCTTCCACATCAGCAAAATGCACTTTCTAAGCATCATTTATTGGGCCAGGAAGTGTGAGGGTTAATCACACTTCGTCAGAGCTGCTGACGAAGAAGGTCGAGACGGGGCAGGTCTAAGGATTGTGTGTCGAGGGAGTGTTCTGCCTGTGCTTTCAGAACGGGAGAGACAGCAAGACTATCCAACTCTGAGCAACTCTGAAGAGCGGAGGAAGAAAAAAAAATTGTGGTGAGAGGGCTACCAGATTAGCTGTTGCTAGGAGGGTTAATTCGCAGCCTTCCTAAACCTGGTTACACTCTGGGGGCCGGTTCTGGCAGAAAGAAGCGGGACAGGTGCCGCCTTAACACGGGTGCATCTACAGAATGTCCCATTTCCTTTTGGCAAGGTATCTGGAAGAGCTTTGAAGGACACATCTGGATGGGATAAGCTTTTCTCCTTGGTTCAGCTAATGGGAATGCCCCTCTGCTAGCATCCCATTTGCCTGTCTGGATCTTCATTGACTTCTTCTGCTGGTTGTGGTTGATCTTGTCTGTCAGAGAGGAAAATGTAGTGAGCAGAAGTACTGGAGATACTTCTTTATCATCGAATGGGCATTTTACTGACTTTAAACCAGGATAGAGAACAGTCACTTTCTGAAATCTTGTCCTGTCTGGAGCAAGGAGTGTCCTACATGTGTTCCATTGTCAAAGAAGTATCTTCATGATAACATCTGTACCTCTAGAGACTTGGAACTTACGAACAGCCTACAAGGACTGCCCCCAGCCCCTACTTTGGTCTGCCCCAACCATCCCTTTTCTTTCAGGCACTGTAAAAGGGTGAAATACTAGTTTATCCTGTCCTCCTTGAGGTATTTTTTCCTTCATCCTAAGCCTGACTGTACCTGTTTTGTCTCTCTAGCTTGGATTCCGAGCCAACCATGTACCATTTGGAAGGAGATTCGGAGGTGTACAAGCTGATGCAGGAAAACCGTGAAACAAGAGCTGTGCCACGGCAATCCAGCACTTTCCGCTTGCTCCAGGTGGCTCTGGAATTGGATGAAAAAGGTGAACGAGGGAGACGATGGAGAGGGCATTCATCTATGAATATAAGGAAGGAAGACGATGGCGCAAATTGGCTTTGCGTTTTAATCCAAGCGTGTTCAGATCCAGCCTTTTCCGTTGTAGTCATTTTTTTTATCACGTGTGTTACGGAAATACATGCTTGCAAAATACGATTAGATTATGGGAAATGCTTCTAGTAGGACAGATAGCATAAAATGGGCTTGTTTTCCCATGTTCTTTTTACAAAATCACAAGTGGAAGGGTGAAAATAAGGTAGAACAAACTAGCTGGAAAAATGAGAAACTCGGTAACATTAAATTTGATGGGTCGGCCTGTAGAATTCATTGCTACCGCGTAATAATCTCATGGGATAAAAGTATTGATTCTTTTATTGTTGGTCTAGTTCACTGCTCTGTTTTGGAAGACTGTGTGGTCACGGGGGCAAATAAGGTAGGAAACCTAAATTCAAGAGGCAGATAAACCAGCATTTTAAACCGGCCTCTGGATGGGCTATATAATCTTTGTTGACAGACTATAGTAGTCAGCTGAAACGTTCAGCTGGCAGACTTTAATTGGTAATTCTAAGAGGGTAAGGGCATGGATGTTTCTGATGGATGCCACATAGGAAAAGAAATAAACAAGAAAATTATAAACCATTATATTTCCCTTCTATGTATGCCTGTTAAATGTGCACTCCTGAAATGGCTATTAATACTGAAATTGAAAGAAGAAAAGCAAATTCAATTGAAAGGATTCTTTTGAGGCTGCAGGTGTGATTTTCGCTGAGAAGAAGAAAAAAAAAACCCCACTTAATTTCTGGGTCAATATACATAGGACTGTACATTCTTTAAAACCGGTCATGTTTTTTTAATTACGGCTTGCTAATGTACCTCCTGTATGACTTTGACAGAGGGAACAACAACACAATTCCCCAGCCAGCTCTCTCCCAGTTTGCACAAGCCGGTCAGCAGCGCTGTGGCAGCGAGCAATCAGAAGCTGCACATCTGTGAGAAGTGTGACAGCCCCATCACGTGAGTATGGCTAATCCTTAAGTAGGGTTGGTACCAAAAGGGACTGGAATAGAGGGGAAGGAAGGCCTTCGGTTTCAACTATTTGAAGGGCTGCCCCGCAGAAGACGGGGTCAACCTCTTCTCCAAAGCACCTGAAGGCTGGAGAAAAAGCAATGGGTGGAAACTTAACCAAGGAGAGAAGCAATCGAGAACTAAGGAGAAATTTCCTGACAGTCGGAACAATTAATTAGTGGACTGACTTGCCTCCAGACGTTGTGGGTGCTCCCCATCCCTGGAGGGTTTTAAGAAGAGATTGGGCAGCCACTTGTCTGGAATGTTAATATAGGGGTCTCCTGCTTGAGCAGGGGGTTGGACTAGATGACCTCCAAGGTCCCTTCCAACTCTGTTATTCTGGTAAGCAAAGAGAAGGGCACGGGGCAATTTGGTGGGCTGGATTATAGCACCCTGTGGCTGGGCATTATGCTAGCTTGGTCCAATGCAGGTAGTCCTCACTGATTCATTTAGTGACCGTTCAAAATTTTGGCTTCACCGCAAGAAGTGACGTATGATCAGTCCTTTACTTATGACCGTTACAATGTCCCTGAGGTCGTGTGATCACGATCCAGGCACGTGGCCACTGGCTCACACTTACGACAATTCCATCCTCCTGCCATCGCACAATCATCATTTGCCACCTTCCCAGTCAGCTTCCAAGAAGCAAAAGGGGAAGCTGGCAGGAAGTTACAAGGCCCAGTCGTGGGACGTCTCGCTTAATGACCTCAAAAAGGGTCATAAAATCAGCTGCAACCACAGGACACCTCCCTTCATGATCGTATCGCTTAGCGAATTTGACCAGTCTTTTTGGTGGTCATAAATTGAGGACTCCCTGTATATATGAGAGATATTTCAGATTGTAGGAAGTTTGGATTTAACTCTGGGGAGGGGGGGAGGCCCTGCCACTTAACTTACACCCTTCAACGGGGGCAAAAGGGTTTGTTATTTATAGCCGTCTGGTGGGTAGAGATTCCAGGGGCTGTTTACAGAGAATGAAGTGCCTGCGTGCCCTGACAATGTATAATGAATTTCTAGCAGGAAACTTTCATTAAAACACACACACACACACACACACACACAGAAAGGAAGTGGGTAGGGATGGTTCGGTAAGGGTCTGTTTTGCACCAACAAGCAAGAGTAGCAGTGGTTGAGACACTAAAGTGGTGATGTAAGCATGCATTTTTCTTTGGGGCTTTTTTTTTGTATTAATCGTTTATTAAACAAATTATTTTTCAAAAGGCAACTGGACCTCCTTGGGGTTTTTTTTTCCCCTTGAAAACATTTCGTCTTTCATCCAAGAAGCTTCTTCGGTTCTTTGAAATGTTTTCAAAGAAAAACAAACAAACAAGAAAGTGTAGTTCGGGATCCAGCTTTGGGACCACTATGACCTGCACAATTAGGAACCTCCGTAGCTAGTTTATTAAAACATGTATGCCGCTTAACTGAGAGACACTGGGCAGCTCACAAGGAAGAAATTGGGATAAACTGAATAAAAAATAAAGATAAAAGAAGGCAAGGATGATGGGCCTAGGTGTTCCTCCTCCTTTTCATCTTCGAAGGAATCCTTGGGAGGGGCTAACTCCAGAGGTGGGGCAAGGGCTAAGCACTCGGGACAGTTTTGTGCCTCAAGAGCACCCAAACCTTGGTTTGTTTGTTTTTTTGTTTGAATAAGAGCTGGGGATGGTGTTGCATGATTAAAGGGCTGATTCCGTGGCGGCGATTTTGCAAGCCACAACTGGAAAGGGCAGCGCAACCTGCCAGGCTGGAAAAATGGAAAGAGAAGATGGATGAAGATGAAGCATGTTGGTTAGAGAAAAAGAATGTATGGCTGACTTTTTACATAAATACAATGTAAAAAGTGACAACGTATTGAACATTGTAAAATGTTCAATAAGAACTTATTTTTTTAAAAAAAAGGAAATCCAGTTTTAGAGGCCTGATGTAGAAATACCGTACCACTAAAATGTGGTGGCCATTGAGTGGTGCTCCGTGGTGCTGTCTGTTGACTTCGGAAACCCAGACCTGTTTTTAGATCGATGTTTCCCAAACTGGGTAACTTCCAGATGTGAGAATGTCAACTCCCAGAAATCTCAGCCAGCATGGCCACTGCTGAGAATTATGGAAGTTGAGTTCCAATCACCTGGAATGTACTTGTCTGGATACTTGGAGCTGGGGTATACGTGAGTGATACACCCCTTAAATACCAGCTTGACTGTTGCATGCTTGCTTGTTTCCCAAAAGAGGTGGAGCAGCTGAATCCAGCCATCACTCCACACTCTCCTTTGAAGAGGCCATCAACGCTCTTGGAGGCAACAATAATAATCTATGCAAAAAAGTTTGCGTAGTCTTAATTAGGTTTTAGTACAGGTTTTTATATGGGGTATTTTAGAGCAGGCCTTTATTTATTTAATTTGATTTTAGAATAGATATTTATTGTGATTTTTATTATTGCCTGTTCACCGCCCTGAGTCCCGTAAGGGAGATAGGGCGGTATACAAATCTAAATAAACATAAACATACCTGGATTACATCTGCAGGAATATCTTTATTTTGTTTCATTGCAAAGTCACTTCAAAGACTGAGATGGCAACAGGCATAATGGCTCTCAGAGGGCGTTAGAGCAGGCTGCAACTCTTGTTGACAGTTGAGAATGCTTGGTTAAGCCAGCATTTCAGAGGGTGGGTGACACTTGGTTGACGATGGTTGGCTTGCTGTAAATCAGGGGTATCCGACCTTGGCAAATTTAAGACTTGTGGACTTCGACTTGTGGATTGCTGGCTGGAGATTTCTGGAAGTTGAAGTCTACAACTCTTGCCGAGCTTGAATCACCCCTGCTGTGGATGCTAGTCCTTTTCACGGACTCTCTTCTGTTCCGTCTTCCCCAGATACCAGGCTGTGAGAATCCAAGAGAACCGCTACCGCCACCCGTCCTGCTACGTTTGCACCGACTGTGGGCTCAACCTGAAGATGCGCGGCCATTTCTGGGTTGGCGAAGAGATGTACTGCGAGAAGCACGCCCGCCAGCGCTACCAGAGCCCAGCAGAGGACGGCACCATCCTGGCTGTCTATTCCCAGTCTTAGATGGGAGGGGAGCTCAAGAGGCTGAACGGGAATGCCGTCCGACGGAGGTTTTCTGCCAGGGATCTAAGCAAAGCTGCTTCTCACCAAACACGATCCAGCTCTTAAAAGACATCTGCAGGAATGGAGGCCTCTGGTGCAAGACGGCAAGGGTCACCACCACCATCTCAGCTCAGAATGCCATGCAGGGGCCTTTGGGGAAGGTGTTGAGGGAGGGAGATGGGGTTCCTCAAGGCAAATGGCCTTTTTTTTATTTTTTAAATTAGTTTAGGCAGGTTTCGGGCATCCCTCTTCAAGGAACAAATGCTTGCCGGCATGGACATTTGTCTTTTGGCCTCTCCAGAAATGATGACTTGGCTGAGCTTCCCACCGTGCCAAGTAGGCCTTGGTTCCTGGACTTCGGAGTGTGATTGTTGTGCCCGTATTAATCCCGATCTGCAGCCAGCAGCTCCCAGAAGCAATGGGAGCTCTCTTAATTCTTTGGTTCTGTGGCTGAAGCACTTCTGCCTTGCCCCCGTTGCCGGTCTCTCGCTGCCCCACCATGCACATCTAAGACTGAAGGGAAGTTGGAATCTCCGGGTCCTGGATGGCGTGGATTCAGCTTTGAAGGCTGGCTTTCCCTGTGATGCTTCTCTTAAGATATTAAGCCAGATCTCTATGTGAATGAAATATAATATATATGTGTATGTGGATAAGGATGGATAAAACAATCTTCCCCACGCCTGCCTTTGCTCTTTGCCTTTGGGCAACCATGTTCCTCTCTCCCCTCTGAGGTTAGGAAGGAGTTTTTGTAATTTCTAGCACAGGTAAATGGCCCATCAGGTGTTTGGTTTTTTTTAAACAAACCCTCTGTTCTATTTAATAATCGTATGGAGTAGGTTTGGCTGCAAGCTACTGTTAATAACTGCTTCATGTGGATATAATGCGCTATTTATTGAGAGAGAGAGAGAGATGTAGCTGTTCCCCTATCACTTGAGGCAAAGATGAGCAGTCGTGGCAGAAAAGGGAATTGCACAGAGGTGGTCTTTGAGTTACAGCCAAAATTGGGCCAGGAATTAACGGTAGGAAGTTCTGCCAGTTGTTAAGTAGGTCTCCAAATGACCATACACAATTTTAGAACCTTTTTTTTTTTTTGCAACAGCTGTTAAAACCCCGTCGTGGTTACACAAACCTGTTGTACCCAATGGACGTGTTGGGGGCAAAAACCATCATAAATTGTGGTCGTGTGACCGCAGAAGTCTGGAAAGGGCCTTAAATGGGGGGCAGTTGCCAAGCACCCCAAAAGCTATCTCACCACTGTCAGAACTTTGAGATTGGTTTGTAAGCACCTTTTTAGAGGGAGGGGTCAAACTCTTGCTAAGTGACCGATGGTAAATCCAGGACTGCCTGTATTTATATTTATACAGGTCCCAGGGTGTGGGAGGTTACGAGGAGGCTGGCTTTTTTATTTTATTTTATTTTATTTTATTTTCTGGGGATGGTATTGGAGATGTGGTTTCAGTAAAACAGCCAGTTGGAGGCTCAGCACAGTAAGTGCCGCTGTTTTGTGTTACCTGCCGGAATAGTGAGAGAACCTCACCTGTGTCACGCTGGGTTGCAGGGTTCACTTTCTGGCGTGGATGTCCTGATTTTCATCAAAGGTGTTCAGTGGGACTTTGAGGTTGTATTTCCTTCGATTTAATACATAATAAGAGCTGGCCTGCTTCCTCTCCTTTGTGGGCCAAATGCCATTTCCAGAGGCATTGAGGTCTTCAAAAACAGTTTTTGGAAAACAGCTGCTCTTGGGCTGGTTAAAACATATCGCGATTTTCTGCTGTGCCAATTGCACGATGTGCTATGAGCGGTGCTGTTGCTCGTCATGTTTTCTCCAGGGCCTCTTTCATTACCACTGATTGACTGCAGCTAAAAGTCAATTTAACAGATTCAGGGGTCCAAGACAGACCACAGGCACCACTCCCAGATCAGAATAACTGTACAGTAGAGTTGTAAGAGACTTGGAGATCTTCTAGTCCAGGGGTAGGCAACCTTGGCTCTTTTATGACGCGTGGACTTCAAGTCCCAGAATTCCTGAGCCAGCATGGCTGGCTCAGGAATTCTGGGACTTGACGTCCATGCGTCATAAAAGAGCCAAGGTTGTCTATCCCTGTTCTAGTCCAACACTCTGCTCAAGCAGGAGACCTATAGCATTTCAGACAAATGGTTATCCAGTCTCTTTTTAAAAGCTTCCAGTGATGGAGCACCCACAACTTCTGAAGGCAAGTTGTTTCACTGGTTAATTGTTCTGTCAGGAAGTTTCTCCTTAGTTCTAGGTTGCTTCTCTCCTTGATTAGTTTCCACCCGTTGCTTCTTGTCCTGCCTTCAGGTGCTTTGGAGAATAGCTTGACTCCCTCTTCTTTGGGGCAGCCCCTGAGATATTGGAACGCTGTTATCAAGTCACCCCTAGTCCTTCTTTTCACTAGATTAGATAAACCCAGTTCCTGCAGCCGTGCTTCCTATGTTTTAAGTCTCCAGACTCCTAATCAACGTTGTTGCTCTTTTCTGCACTTTAGATCTTGTAATACAATGAAACCCACCATGAATCTACAGAAGACTGATGAATTATAATTCAGAATAGTAGCAATGGGTCCCAGCACTTCCTATGTATCAAGGTCTAAAAACAAGACCAAAAAAATATACCTTATTACTAATGTATCATGGTGAGACTGCAGAATGTATATACTTTGAAAAGGGCCACATGTACGCTATGGCGCTTTGTACATGAACAAAACAACTTAAAAATCTGCACTGGAACAGGATCACAAAGTTATTTTTAACAGCAGCTGAATAAGCAAGAAGTGCCTTAAGCAAAGTTGGTTACAGAACATTCATTTCCAATGTAGCATATACAATTAGCCAGTAGAGGGCGCTCGTCACAAACAAGAATCCTGCACTTGGGGTTGGTTGTTTGTTTTTTGTTTTGCAGATCCCATGGCTGTAATATTTCAGCAGATTCCTTCGCTTTTGGATCCTGCTTGACCAATGCAGAACACAGAACTTGCTCTTAAATACTCGTTCAGCATATTAGGAATGTGTTTTGGAATGAGCTATTAGGATGTTCTATTGTCTACAAGGTTCCGGAGTCAGTTTGCATAATCTGATAACCAACGAGTCTTCTGTTCTATTAATCTCATTTGCCTGCTGCATGCCCTCACAGAGCATGTTGGTTATCCTGGAATTTAGGATGCACCTAGAAGATACTAGGGCTTAATTCACCTGGTCTAGATACAGATCTACTTCAGGCCTTGACAGTGATAAACTTGGTTTTGGAGCACTCTTGGGAATGATTTCCTGATTGCACTAGCACAGTGGTTCTCAACCTTTTTAATGCCATGACCCCCAACCGGTCGTAAGTCGAGGACTAAACCGGTCGTAAGTCGAGGACTAAACCGGTCGTAAGTCGAGGACTAAACCGGTCGTAAGTCAAGGACTACCCAACCGGTCGTAAGTCGAGGATTTTCCCTGCCCGGGAGCGCCGCGCATGCGTGGTTCCACCCCCTGCGCCGGCCGAGGCATAGCTGGCAAGCGGCAGAGACGGAGCAGGCCGACCACCAGCTGGCCCAGCCCAAGGGAGGTAAGGCACCCGTCGGAAAAGGGGAAAAAAATGGTGGACAAAAAAATGGCGGACAAAAAAAAATGGCGGACAGCCTTGCTTGGCGACCCTCGTGAAATGGTCGATCGACCCCAAATGGGGTCCCGACCCACAGGTTGAGAACCACTGCAATAGCACTTAGACTTAAATACAGCCCTCTCTAAGCGGTTTACAGAGTCAGCATAATGACCCCCTCCAACAATCTGGGTCCTCATTTTACTGACCTTGGAAGGATGGAAGGCCGAGTCAACCTTGAGCCGGTCAGGATCAAAGGAATCGAGCTCCTGGCAGTATGAGCTGAGTTAGCCTGCAATCCTGGATTCTAGACCCCGCTGACACCCTGGAAGGAGAATTCCCACTGTGACAGGACAGAGAACTCCATGGGTGTGAGCAGTGAAAATTATCTTTGTATTATCCCATCCACTATTATGCCGAGGATTTCCAAGGTACTCGGAAAAAGCTTTCTCTGTGCTTCATGAGGTTGCAAGTCACCTTAAAGCAGGACTTCCTAAACTTGGATAAATTATCTGAAATTGGGTCATTTTTTTTCTTGGGGTAATGACACATTAAACAGCCACGACAGGGGAGATTTAATCGAGGACTTTTTGATAAGCAATTTTGGTTAATGGAAAAAAAATTGGGAAGCACTGCCTTAACATCTACTTCTCGTCCCGTTCTGAGTCCACATCTGCTGATAACACAGATCCCATGGATTCTCTAGTCGGCTTATTCCATTTTTCTCAAAGGGCTACGGGTAGCCCACGACTTAACGACCGCAATTGAGCCCAAATTTTCTGTTGTTAAGTGAGACATTTGTTAAGTGAGCTTTGCCTCATTTTACAACCTTTCTTTCACAGTTGTTAAGTGAATCAACGGCAGTTGATAAGTTAGTAACCCGGCTGTTACATGAATCTGGCTTCCCCATTGACTTTGCTTGTCAAAAGGTTGCAAAGGGGGATCACGTAACCCCCCTGGGACACAGCAAAGGTCGTAAGTATGAGTCGGATGCCCAGCATCTGAATTTTGATCACATGATCCTGGGGATGCTGCAAAGGTCGTAAATAGGAAAAAGCAGTCATAAGTGGTTTTTTTCAGTGCCGCTGTGACTTTGGTCACTAAGTGAAACAGTTGTAAGTTGAGGACTGCCTCTACAGATCACGAGACAGCTGAGTGGGCCTCTTGGATGAGTCCACGGCTCCGTTAGAGTTGAATCGCGGGGTCTCTTGCATCCTTCCAAGTTCTTTGTTCCCTGGATTACCTTGGAAAAAATGATAAGGTGACCTTGAGGAGACACCACCTTTATTTGAAGTCCAGGTCCTGGCTGTTTTTAAATCCTACCAAGAAACAAGATGCACGTCAGTCTGAGATACGCAGATTTCTAGTCCTTGACTTGTGGCCGCGATTGGGGTCCAGAATTTCAACTGCTAAGCAAGGCGTTTGTCAAGTGACGCCTGGTTTTTATGACTTCTTTTGCCATCACTGCAGTAGTTTCAGTAAGTCCTGTGAACATTGAGCAAAGTTGGCTTTCCCCATTTTTTTTTAATCTATTAAACTTTTTATTTATTTTCTCAAGTTACAATTATATCTTTGAAAAACAACGGGGTGGCTGAGTTACAATGATTCAGTTACATACAGATATTATTAATACAAGTCTCCAGCTATTCAGCCAATATTTCCTCTCTTTTTCCCTTAATATGGACTGTCTCTTATTAGTATACTTCAATCAAATACAAAATAACTTTCTTGCATTAAGCAATAACGTTTAGTTTATGTATGTCTTAATTGTTTTAACATTCCATCTTTTAGACCAGGGGTAGGCCACCTTGGCTCTTTTATGACTTGTGGACTTCAACTCCCAGAATTCCTGAGCCAGCATAAGGGAAACTTTGTCCCCTTCATGGCTCGTGGACTTCAATTCCCAGAATTCCTGAGAGCATGAGGGAAACGTTGGCCCCTTCATGACTCGTGGACTTCGACTCCCAGAATTCCTGAGCCAGCATGAGGGAAACGTTGGCCCCTTCATGACTCGTGGACTTCGACTCCCAGAATTCCTGAGCCAGCATGAGGGAAACTTTGGCCCCTTCATGACTC